ATTCGTGGAGTCCACATGAAATTACCCTTTTACCCTCATCTCCACCAAATTATGTCCCTTCCTCTCCCTTTCCCCGAACCTCCATGGAAACCTCCTTTCTCCTCCCCTTTATAAACTCCATTTCTTCACTCCCAAATTTCCACTCAAAATCTTCTTCTTCTTCAAATTTCATCCGCCATTAATGGCTTCCATGGACGACGCTTCCACTTTAGATCTCATCAGCCAACATCTCCTCAACGATTTCAACTCCATTGAAGCTTTCACTTCAAGTCTCAACTTCGACAACAATGGAGTAAAGCCTCAAATCTCCGCCGCCCCTTTAAAGGTTAGTCCCCGGCGGCCGTCGCTAAACGTGGCGATTCCGCCCAAGATTTACTCTGTTGAACCAAAATCGGATGTGGGTATGAGCCGGCATTACAGGGGAGTACGCCGGCGGCCGTGGGGGAAATTCGCGGCGGAGATTCGAGACCCCAATAAACGTGGAGCTCGTGTTTGGCTTGGAACTTATGATACCGCCATTGAAGCTGCGAAAGCTTATGACAGAGCTGCTTTCAAGATGAGGGGAAGTAAAGCGATTTTGAATTTTCCTCTTGAAGCTGGAAAAGAGGCGGAAGAGCCGCCGTTGAAGGCGGAGGTTGGCCGGAAAAGGAGGAGAGAAAGTGAGGCTGTGGAATTAGGGAACAAGGCGGTGAAGAAAGAAGAGTCGCCGGAAATAACAGAGAAAGAAGTCCCGGCGAGCGTTTGTCCGTTGACGCCGTCATGTTGGGCAACGGTTTGGGATAGTGATATGAATGGGATTTTTAGCGTGCCGCCGTTATCGCCGTTAATGGGATATCCTCAATGCACAGTCATATAAATTGTGAAAAAGAAAATAAATTAATTTCGTTAAAATAAATCATTATAAAATTATAAAAAAAAAAAAAAAAAAAAAAAAAAAAAAAAAAAAAAAAAAAAAAAAAAAAAAAAAAAAAAAAAAAAAAAAAAAAAAAAAAAAAAAAAAAAAAAAAAAAAAAAAAAAAAAAAAAAAAAAAAAAAAAAAAAAAAAAAAAAAAAA